TCTTTCCCCATTAAATGTTGTGCACAGGATTACCTCTTGATTACAATTTAAGGAAAAAACCCAATTCCTACTAAAAAAATGCAACTTCAAAGACTATATGGAAAAATATTCAGAGCTTATTTTGTGGTGTTCAGTGTCTGGATAGCAGTGTATGAGAAGGAATAAAATAGTTATGTTACAATTGGCTGCCTCCTTTGTATGTGGTAATAAATTTGTAAGAATGTACTCTGATTGTGGACAGCTTTTCAGAAAGACTGTTTTAAATACCTTTGAAGTATTTTCCTGTATTACTATATTTTTGTAATGTACTAGGGAGCTGAAACTTGTCCAGTAAAAGCAAACTTATTCTGGGTTTTAAATTGGTTATTTTACTTGTCCAAAATTGACCTCTCATTGATCATAATACTTAAATCTTAAATGCTTAAATATAACATACTTCTCATTATTTGGCACTATTTGGTCAACATAAAAAGAAAGGGAAAAATGAACGCAATAGCCATTGTAACAAAAAGTATGATCGTTCTGGACTATAGTAAAAGATAAATTTCTATATAAAATTAATTCGTAATAATGTCTCGAAGTTTTTTGATGTCTCTTGATGTAGACAAAATTTCTCTGCATCCTACTGTATCTGTGGGGTGTGACTTGTCCCTAAAAAAAAAACCCAAAAAACAAACCAAACCAACCCTTGTTACTGTTTCCCAGTATCTTCTTCCTGCCTTTAGCAGTTCTTATGTCCTCAGATAGCAAGGGTAGGTCAGGCTCATTGGTCTGCGTTCCAAATCATTAACAGTTGATGCATGACCAATTCCTTGTTGGCACTGTAGTTGTGTAGCTCATTAAACAGGTGTGCAATACTGTCAAAGTCTTGGGGTGTCTCTGGAGGCTCTGGTGTTTCAGACTAGCGGGTACAGACAGCATCAGTGCTCACAGGCAGCAGCACTGGGAAAAGACACTTCACCTGAGCTAGGCTGAATATAGTGCTTTCACCCAGGGACCCGCATCTTAAGTCTGAAGTGAAGCTTTACCAGAGACATAAGGTTGATGTTTGTGTGATGTATAGTGATGTCTCTTTCTCATAGGTGTCAGTTCCTGTTTCCATGTAAAATTAGAGGATGAACCACCACATTTTTTTAAGGTACTTTCTGTGCTGCAAAATACATTTGGCACCTAATACTAGTATTAAGGTGAATTACATATTTTTTTAATTAGAAAAGCATTCCATCGTGACTAAATTGCTGGCAGAAGCAGATGACCAAAGTGCAGCTGACCATGCAAGAGTTAGCCAGCTCTCCAAACCATAACATCTGTTTTGAAGTAAAAAATATTTCTCAGCCAGATAGACAAATTCTCATCTTTCAGCCACCATCTTAAACACTGTTGTTGGTATTCCATGTAGTTCAAGACACCAAAGGTAATGCAGCAACGCACTTGCTTAACATTACCACATAGAATATAATTCTTGGCATAAAAAAAGGTTATTACTGTTATTGTTACTGGCTTCCTCTGTTGTAGTTCTTAGACCAAGACACATATTAATAAGAATCTACTGAAATACTAATTATGTTACTGTAAAGTATTGAGGCTTTTAGCTGTCAATCTCGGTATTCTTGGGGACAGTATGGTTCTGTCTACCTCTGGAATGATATGCTAACTGAAGATACAGTAAAGCACAATTTAATTTTTTTTTTTTGTCATCTGATAACTTCAGTGTGTATGATGCATTTAGTGTGGAACTGGAAAACCTGTGAATTACTCAAATGAGTGGTTTATGCTTCTTAGTAATATGCAGTTGTACTGAAAAAACAACTGCTATTTTTAAAGCATTTTAAAAGGCATTTACAAGCATGCTTAGGAAATGGCTCATCCTCTGGTTTAAAAATAGTGTGCAAAACTTGTTTTATCTACCTACCTCCAACTTTTAAAACCTTAATGCCTCTCAGTTTTCAGAAACTTCCTTGAGCAGGAACTATTTATTTTAGCTAGAACATTAAATATATTCATTTGTTCCAATGTATTTCATTTTATGCATTCATTTCATTGACATGCTGTTGCTTTTGCTTCAGTTAGTACAGACTTTTTATCTATGTTCCTATGCTAATACAGTGCATCAATTCTCAAAGATAAAATCTGACATAGGTATTCCATTACTTTAAAAATACTGAGGTTTATAATAGTGTAATTTGATAGAGCTGTTATTTAGGTTGCTGAAGAACATATGATATGACATTGTTGAGTGCATTTTATTTTTATGTTTTCCATAAGACACCCATATTCTTCATTTAGGCGATGAATGGTGCTTATTGAATTTGTAGATATTCAGTGCTTTTTATAGGGAGGAAGTGGATCATGAGAATTTAAAGATCTGAATCTGACATTACATATAGGCTTATGTTTCACTTGCAATTTTCAGTGAGGAGCCCATTGCCAAAACATAATACCCTTGAAAATACTATGATTTATACTTACTGCAGATTATAGTGCTGCATAACCTGAGACTGGAACGCTGCCTGAAGTGAGGAAGAACATTATGGCACTCTTGTTTACAAAGACAGGAGTCAGGGTCTGTTTTGCGCATGGATTTGACCTAGTGTTCTGCAAATACTTATTAGAATAGCCTGGTCATAAGTGTGGTTTTTTTAATACCTTTCTAATGACATTGTCTAGACTCTCCAACCAAAACTAATGCCTCTTTATGCAAGACACTGAATGTAAGTTTTAAAAAAAATAAACCCCTCTGTTTTCAAAGTGTTTCTGATGTGAACAAAGAAGTTGAACACTGCACTCCACTTAAACAACGGGGAAGCTGACCTTTGGGATCTGGCAGCTGAGACCGTATGTTGGTGACAGAAGGGAGGTGAAAGCTTTGTGGTCAGAGGTTACTACTGATATCAGCAAAGACAATGAGAATATAAAAGGTTCAAACCTTGGGTGAGGAACATGGCAGTGATACTTGTGATTCTTCTAATGGAATTGCATGTGGCTTTGTTGCTGTTTTTTTGCAATGTACTGAAGGAGTTCTTGGAGTCTCTGAACCATGAAGCTCTTCTGCAGTAGGAAAAATCATTTTTTTTTCAAGTGAGAAAGAAAGTCACAAAGTCTACCTGCTGCCTGCAGAGATATTAGCCGTATTTAGAACACTTACCAAAACCATGAAAGAGCTCCTTTTCCCCCCTCTTTCATGGAATAGTGTGTGCCTGTGTTAGAAAAAATTAATTAGAATAATGTAAGTTAAACTGGGGTTTGTGATTTTTTTTTTTTTTTTTCCAAAGTGATTTCCTTGCTGTATAAAGATGAGCGTGGCTGTTTATTTTTTTCTTTCTGATACTGTTTCAGAACTTTTTTAAATCCAAAGCCTCACCTTTTTAGTTTTTTTGTCACAGATACCAGAATGCTATGCCTTTATTTCAGACAATAAAATTTAGAATGTAGTGTCTAAAATATTTAAAAAACCAAAACAAAACCAACAAAAAAATCTTAAATAACACAACATAACAAAAACCCCAAGAAAAACCCAACAAAAAAAGTCAAAACAAAAAAAAAGACAAGTAAAAAAACCCCCAGAAAATAGAACTTATGATATTTCATGGCCAAAATATTCAATCTGTTTTTTCACTTGTGAAAACTCTTTTGAACTTTATAACTTGTCTAAACACTTGATTGTAGCCACTTTCTCCAGTCTAGAACATAGACTTTCCTTGGTGCCAGGAGAGCAATTCTGGCCTTCATATTTCTTGGCCCTGAAGGCAAATCAGTGCAATCTTCCTGTTTTCTAGCTCAGTGCTAATGGAGGACTGGTCTAGGCTCTGTCCTCACAAGAAGAAATAAAAAAACCCACAAAACCAAAAACAACAAAAAACCCAAACAAACCCAACAAAAAAACCCCAACAAGCTCCAAGCAAAATACCTAAAGTGCAGCTTTGTTCTAAGTTCTCTGCTTCTTGATCATTTTTAAGATACACAAAATATACTAATCAGAAGACCTTTTTTTTTTTTTTTTTTCCCTCAGCTATGTTTTATAGCTCTGCTGCCTGTAAACATATCTGGGGGATGTGGAGATTTGCTAGAGTTCTTGGTACATAAAATACTGTATTAAAACCACTTATTGCATGAATAGTTTATTCACTGATATATACATATAAACACATACTTATCCATATCTCTATACTGTTGAGAGTACTTCCTAGTTAAAAATAGATGACCTACTATGTTGTTGTGCAATTGAAACATCCCATAGAATGTATGTAATTACTTTAAAATTTTCACTGAAAGTTAGGCATCTCTGCTTCTTTCACAGCCTTCTTGGGCTGTTTAGCTCCTGGGGCTCCACACACTGTTGGCTGTCCTACCAATTACTCTTCTGTTCAGCTGACTTATTAGCTGGAAAGTGGGTGAGCTTACACAGGATGCCTACTAGATGAGCTATGAAAACCAAAATTGTATCTGAGCAACCATCAGGCCTTCAAACCAAAACAACCAATGTTTGCATTTTAAATGCTTCTAAACTGAAATGTTTAAGAATGATTAGCATTTTGAAAGGAGGAAATTGAGATTTGGGGTTTGTTCCAATTTAATTTCATGTTGTAATGTATACTCTGCGTGTGTTATTCTCTGACAGAAAACCTCTGTTCAGATTTCTTTAGGCTATACTTTTCTTTTAAATAAATGTTTTTCAGTGTGTTGAATGTGCTTTTTCCCAGTGGTGTTTACAGAAACAATGTGCATATAAAGGCAAAACTTTAATCAGGAAAATTATAAGTTAGAAAGTATAGAAAAACTATTCTACATGGTGTATAGAATTGTCATGATTAATACAGCATTTATACAGTCACATTCATAATGATATTTAGTGGGTTATTCCTTCAGTGAAAATATCGTAGATTGTCAAAGTAACGTTCAGAGTGCCTAGGTGTTTTTCTTATGATTTAAGATAACCAGAATGCCTCTAATATAATATTATTTCATGTTTGTAGGTAATATATGCTTTGAACACTAAAAATGATGAACATGAAGCTGCTATCCAAGCCCTTAAGGATGCTCATGAAGAAGAAATTCAACAAATTCTTGCAGAGACCAGAGAGAAGATCTTGCAGTATAAAAGTAAAGTTGCAGAAGAAATGGATCTGAAGAGAAAGATCCAGGTTTTAGAAGAGTCACTGGAAGATCATAAAAAGATGAAACATCAGGCTTTGACAGAATTTGAAGCTTATAAAGGTAGAGTTGAAGATATGCAGCTTTGTGCAGAAGCTCAGCATGTTCAACGTGTAGTGACCATGTCAAGAGAAGTAGAAGAGATCAGAAAGAAATTTGAGGAAAGACTACGAAGTTTCATACAGTTGCAAGTGCAGTATGAGAAGGACAAACGTACAGCTCTGGAAGACTTGAGAGCTGCCCACAGGCTTGAGATTCAAGAACTTCTAAAGACTCAACAGAGTCAGAATGCTACTTTAAGTAAGGGACAAGAAAAACTGGAGGAATTGCATAGACTGGAGCTGGAAGACTTGAACAGTAAGGTTGAAGAATTAAGGCTGGAAAGAAAAAAACTCATTGAGGACTATGAAGGTAAACTCAGCAAAGCACAGTCCTTCTATGAACATGAACTTGATTCTCTGAAAAGATCTCAGCTTTTTACAGCAGAAAGTCTACATGCTTGCAAAGAAAAAGAAGTGGAGCTAAGGAAAGAATTTCAAAACCAGGAAAGTATGTTACGGAAGAATCTGGGAAAGCTTAAAACTGAATTGCAAATGGTCCAGGATGAAGCTGCCAGTCTACGGGAAAAATGCCAAAAACTTCAGGTGGCTCTTGGTACAGCAGAAAACAATGTTCAGGTGAGGCCAATGTTATCTTGTTCCCAAGACTGTGAATTTTCTTTTCCTGTTTATGCTGTCTTTCCATAAGGCTTGGTAGGTTGAGGTGGTTGGAACATGTAAACTTAATTTTCTGTCACTTTTTACTTGACTTTACTTGTCGTTTACCTCAAAATTTTAAAAATAATTTATATTTTAAAGTCAACTTAATGTGCTTAATTTCCCCGGAGTGAATTAATAGTACTTTATATTCCTGTAGAATCTAGAAACCTCTACCCAGGAGGAAGTTTTGGTCTTCTCCCTTTCAGCTGTTCTTGAATAGAACTTGGTTGTTCTAGTCCTACTACTCAGTGTAGTATACTCAATAGAATACTCAAAACTGTTACCACTTAAAGAGCAGACAAAAAACCCCAAACCAATCTGTGTTCCCCTCCCCACAAAGAAAGGGGAAAAAAGGGGGGAGAGGAGGGGAGGAAGGGGTGAGGTAAGTGAGAGGGAAGGAGGCTGTTAGTGACTAGTACCATTTGAGATGTTATGCTGACAAACTGAAATGCTTGCTGGAAAAATTGAGAAACAACTTACCTAGACTAGTTTCTTGCAGAAATGTATTTGGCGGGAATGTCACACCACTGACAGTACAATGAATATTCTGTATTCAGTGCAGTCTTGCTTGTAGAGATCATTAGTGACTCCCTTGCCTAAACAAGTTGTGTCTTAAGAAAAGTAGGTCTGTAGGAGGTAAGAAAAAAAAGATGACTTTCTAAATGTTTTATTATAACATCTTGAATTATGTATTTGCAAGCAGTAACTGAAACACTGCACACGTTTTCAGTATTTACTGGTTTTGGCTGGGATAGAGTTAATTTTCTTCATAGTAGCTAGCATGGGGCTATGTTTTGGATTTGTGCTAAAAACAGTGTTGATAACATAGGGATGTTTTTATTATTGCTGAGCAGTGGTCAAACAGAGCCAAGGCCATTTTTGCCTCTTACCCCACCCTGCCAGTGATGAAGCTGGGAGTGCACAAGGAGTTTGGAGCAGGTACAGCTGGGACAGCTGACCCCAACTGACCAGAGGGATATTCTATACCATATGATGTCATGCGCAGCATATAAAGCTGGGGGAAGAAGAAGGGGGAATGTTTGGAGTTACAGTGTTTGCCTTTCCAAGTAACCATTACAAGTGATGTAGCCCTGCTTTTCTGGAGATAACTAAACACCTCTCTGCCAGTGGGAAGGAGTGAATGAATTCCTTGATTTGTTTTGCTTGTGTGTGTGGCTTTTTACCTATTAAACTGTCTTTCTCTCAACACCTGAGTTTTCTCACTTCTACTCTCCTGATTCTCTCTTATCCCAGTATGGGAGGAGTGAGTTGGCGAGCTTAGATGGTGCTTAGATGCTTACCAGGTTAAAAAACAACACAGTGTTGTTAAGAAACTAGTTTCTTGTCCCTAAAGGATAAGACAGCCCAAAAATACAGATTTTTTTTTTTTGGTCAGAAAAAAAAAAAAGGACTGGGTATGCTGGGCTTGAAAGAAAAGATTCTGCTTGCATTTTGGTAGCTGTGCTGAGGCCTGAAGAACAGTAATTTCTATGGGTAAGCATGAGTATCTTGTCTTTTGCATTTGTAGTTACTCTCAAGTTTCAAAATCAGAAGTACCTTAATAGTGATGGTCATAGTGATTTTGAAAGCATCATTGAGTAGATCCGAGAGCTTGAGTAGAGCTGACCATGAGCTTTTCCCATTTACAATCTAATTCCAGCTCATCTTTTGGAGTATTCTTTCTTGACTACAGGGTGTAGTGAAAGAAGACTGCTACCTTTATCAGATATTAAATATGGAATACCTTTTTTCCAGTTTCCCAAGGTGCCTTCTAAAAGTTAATTTCCAGCTTGGTTCAGTTAATGAAGCAGAACTCTTGCCTTTCAATTGACAACATCAAGGAGGTGGGTTTCTGGCAAGCTGCAGCAAAGAGGAAACTCACTGTATATTGATCATCCCTGCATTAAAGGAGTTCCTCTTCATTCCAAACAAGAGAGTCTAGTACAGTGTTCACAGCAGATTTTAAAGTCAGGTTGTACTCTGATCATCATGGATGAGGTGATCAAATGCCTAATCTCATCACTTCTGGTGTCCATGTTTCATTACATGTCCTGCCCAGTGTTTTCCCCAATTCTGTGTCTGGCTTTAGTTCTGAAATGACCCTTTACTATTTCAGTGACTTGAACAATGAGAAATTTAGATTTCTTTTAAAAAACAGAAAAATATTTCCTTTTCCTTCCTGCGTGGCTGAGAACACATCATCATCACCACACTACCCAAGGTATGCTATTGTGAATCAGTACATCAGACTTAAAATATACTAAAAGTTTGATTTAACTAATTGCCTAGCTCTCATATAATGTATATCCATGTGCAGCTTAATATGTATCAGTACTAAACAATTACAGTTGCAATGAAAGACAGTGTAAACTACTGTGAACATAGAATGTATTCTTTAATGTGAAGAACTCTCAGACATCAGAAACCAAGTTTCTCAAGTCTGCCCCCAAATTCTGTGGACCATTTTACTGTATTTATTTTTCATATACCTCTTTAACTATTGTCACATCTCTTATGTGTTCTTGTCGTATTCAGTATCTTGTAACAATTCAACAGTATTTTTTGAAAAACATATAATACAAAATGAACATGGCAGCAATATTACAAGATTTCAGCTTTTGTATGAATAAAACTTATTTGCTGAAAGGCCTTGTCTGTACATCTTAACCTAATGCTCATTTAAATTTACGTGATTGTATATCATAACAGGCATTATACTATGCTTCCTCTAGGTTCTTCAAAAACAGCTAGATGATGTGAAGGAGGAGGAGATGTCCTTGTTAAGCAAACACAAAGAAGTGGAAAGTGAGCTAGCAGCTGCTAGAGAGCGCTTACAGCAGCAGGCCACTGATCTTGTTCTCAAAGCCAGTATGTATGTCAGTAACTTAATCTGGAAATGAACTTCATCTTTTTATTCTAGTCTTTCCTTTTTCTGTTAACTTTGTGCAGGTTTAGGGTGCCTGAAGACTGTTCAATGCTATCCATAGAAATTTCTGACAAGTTTGGGGGGTTTTTAAACTGTTTTGATATCGCATGCATTGTATTTAAGAATCTCTTTTTGTGGTTTTATTTGTCCAAATGTTCTGCTTTGTATGGGGTATATGTATCTCCAGGCCTTGGAATTTCTTGCCTTAACTACACTTGTACAGAAAGCTTCTGCTGTGTATCTGTTCTCCACATAGTCACTGAGACATGTTTCCTCTTCCTCTGTCCTTTTTCAGTTGCCTTGTCTTTTTGCTGAGACTGTGGTACTTTGCTTTACACCTACTGTCAGAAGGTTTACAGTTTTTCAGATAATAAGTATTTTAGGTTTTCCTTAATAGCTGTTTTCTTCAGTTCTCTGTGCTTGTTGGCATATGGAAAGGCACAGAAAATGGTTTAAGACTTGGTTGTACACATGTGGGTGTTTTCCCTCATTGGCTTTATCTCTCTGATAAACTGCTTAGTGGTAGGGCCTGGCCCCAGGTACTTGTACTTGGTTAACTATACTATAGGTAGTATTGTAGGCTTTGAAATAAGCCCCTGGCTTATCTTTGGCTTTGTTGAACTAGTCCGATTGTAGACATACCTGATTATTATCCACGCAAATTAGCACAAGCCCAGGACCCTTCCCAAAAGTCAGTTTGGGTAATGTCACCTTGTTCTGAAGGCTGGGATGTTGCCGGACTGTGCCAGTCAGCCTTAGGGACAGACAATACTTCACAGCCTTAACTTACTAATACTGTAATGATTTACTGTAATAGCTTACAACTAACTGGCTATAAGTGGCATTGCCATTGAAATGAATGTGTGATTGTGGCCTTTATCAAGGTTTTATTTCTGTCCTTCAAATAATGAAGCAGTTCCTACTGATGGACTGATGAGTGTGTCTGCTGCCTAGGAGAGCTTTGTACTTAAGACAAGTGGCATATATGAGCTGGCTAAGATAAGGGCTAGAAATAATCTGACTATATGTTTGGACAGTCTAGAAGCCAGCAGGGATCCAAGACTGCAAGGTCCTACAGCTAAAAGGAATGGACTTGCTGCTAAGAGGATCTCAAATAGGAATTTGACCCTCCCAAAAGTGTATTATGAGGCACTCAGAAAAATTAATGACCTGAGAGTCTTGGGGAGAAAAATCCCTTGTTCTCATACTCTTTAGCCATTCCTGTTTCTTTCCCTGGGCAGAAGCATGGGAGGGATTCATCAGGCAGCTCCAGATCTAGTGGAAATAAACTTAAATATCCAGGCTGGTTTTGTGCATTACTGAGGACATGGAGGGAGTTGGCTAGCCTCTGAGTCCAGCACTGGCCTCTGGCACCGAGGTTTTTAGCTGTACCAGAAATTCCAGTGTGTCCATGGTGTTGCTGAGCTGAATGGCACTGTCAGTAGTACATCTTTGCTTCACAGCACGTTGCTGTGCAACAAGAACCAGGAGCCCTTTTTTGCAGTGGTGCCACCAAGCCCTTACCATGTCACATAATTGGTTACCAGCCTGTTTGGAAATGATTTTTGACACTGGCCCACCCATCGCCTCTGATTATTCAGCTCCAATTTGGAAGTCAAAAATCCTGCCTCAGAGAAAATAAATTCTCATACTTAATGACAATAGAAAATATTTACTACTTGTGTTACAACTTGAGAACACTGTATTAAGTCTGTAAGAAATTAATATACTCTTCTTCCATTTATCCTGAAATTTCAAGCTTGAAAGGAAACTGCTGCTTTTCATACCTTCTGAGTAGAGCATGGGAAATGGGAAACACGTACTGTGTTGGTATTATCAGTGTGTGTACTATATAAAATATGTGCATGCATAATACTTCCTGACAAAGTTCTTTTATAACTATTCTCCCTGTTACATTCCAAAATCTGGGTTTGCAAACACATTTCTTAAATGGCTGAACTTTTGAAACAAGGTGTTTTTTGAATAGTTACAGAAGTGTACCCATTTTCTTAAGTTTTTCTTGGTTTTAGTTTTATCAAACAAAACCAACAAAATGATTCTTAGAATTCTTCAGGGCTTAGTACAATTAGAGGTGTGCATTGTTTATGAAAATATTGCTAATTTTGAAGCATTTCTTATCTCCACCTTCCATTATGTATCCCACTTCCTTCACATTGGTGTCCGCAGACAACAAAGGCTAAAACAGTTTCCTTTTTGACATGTATCTTGCTTTAACCACAGATGGAAATTAATTGGGAGGCTCAGTGGTTTTGTCTTGTGAGAAAGTGACACACAGTCCACTTTCTTAGCTCTTTCTTAGTAACTTACATTTAAAAGCAATACTTTGTGGCTAGAACTCAACTAATCTGTCATTTTTTTATCATTATGATAAAATGAGGGGGTGAAAAAAAAATCTCTACTAAAAGCAGTGACTATAAAAATAATACATTTATTCTGAGTAAACAATACAGTTTCTTATCTGGATGTTTTCTTTAAGTGAAACTGTTAAGGATCTCTGTATAATTCTTCAAAGTCTGTTTAGTCACCACTTCATTTTATTATATGCTAATTTTTAAAAGGCATATTTCAAATGTGTCTAGGTCATGCAATTTATGAAAGGGATAATTGCGTGTTTCTGTCAGGAGAACCCGTTCCAACATGGAATGTCAGCTTAGGTATGATTTCATGATGCTTTACAGAGGTGTTAAAATAATGGGAGAATATCCCCTCTCTTGTCTTTCAGCTGAACAAACATAGGAGCATCTTCTAAGCTGTTCAACTGAACAAACCCAGGAACATTCTCTTTTCCAAAATAGTTTTTTATCCCACCCTCAACTTCTCCCAGAATAACTGGAGTTTCACTGCTTTAGTCAGTTACCTAGTAGTAGTATTTTCAATAATACAGATATAAATTAAGAATGAGAACAAAAATTTCTGAAGTCAAACTTTTTTCCACTGGTGGTATGAAGGACAGATGATTATATTGTCTCGCTTTGTAGATGTTTTTTTAAAAATAAATACGAAAAACTTAAAAGCAAACCTCTAATCTGCAGGGATTTAGATCATGCTTTACTGTAGAGAGAATGAGTTCTGTTACATCTTTTAATCATATCCCTATAGCAAAATAAACAAAATGTATTTCCGTAAGTTTTACATAGTTTTAGCTGCTATACCTACTAGCATGCTGGCTAAATCATGAGTTTGATAAAACAATAACATCTTTACCATTAGATATCAATGTTATGCTTTCTCCTGTGTAGCTTATCACGGGGTAAAAATGTGTGGTTTTAGGTGGGGTAAGTTCAAGATAGACTGTCTGTGTCTATACCGTTGCCTACCTCTGCTTTCTTTTGGAGTCAATATGCAACTTTGAACCAGGAAAATTTTGAACCTAAAGGAGCCCCAGATCAAAGCACTCTACTGTTGTTGGACATCTTACAATAAAACTAAAAAAGGGTGAAGTGGAGGGGAGAGTAAGCATTGCAGTGAAGGTAATGGAGATCTATTTGAAAGCTTCCACTAGAGTTATACTAGAAATCACTGAAGTATGAATAGCTACTTCAATTATATAAACCAGTGCTGTGAGGTTTTGAAGAGCTGTTTTGTTTTTAGGTCACATTGGAATGCTTCAAGCTACTCAAATGACTCAAGAAGTTACAATCAGAGATTTGGAATCAGAAAAGTCTAGATTAAAAGAAAAACTATCCCAACTGGAAGAGGAAAGAAACTTACTACAAAGCAAAACACAGAGCCTGGATGAGCGACAAAGGCAGCAAATTCTGGCCTTGGAGAAGGTTAAACAGCTTATTGGCTTTAGTTGAATAAAACCAAAAGACCTAGAATTCTCAGGAAAAAAACTATTATGTTGTAATTTTTGTTTGCTATGACGGGACTCGAACCAGTACTAGTATGTTCCAAGTATATCTCATGTAGGAATGTAGAATGACTAATGTAGAGTGCAAAGTGAGAGTAGAGGGAAGTCAGATGTTGTTCAGACTGCTTTGGACATCTTTTAAAAATTTTATTTAATTTATGACCTCATGTGTAGAAGCCTAGTATCGAAAGTGTCACAGTAAGCAGAAATGTGAAATTGTTTAAGAACAATTTAAAAAGCCATTCTCTGAAAATGTGCTGAACATGTTTGAAAATATGGAACTGAAATTTTCTATAGGCTTGATACCTTATTGCTATTTCCCCAGATGAAATAGAGAAAAAAAAAAAAAAAAAAAAGATTTTTAGTAAGGACATATTGCTTTACACAGATATGTTGAAACTACCTGTTTCATTATTGAATGATTTAATCAGTGCTTAGTGTTTACTCAGTTTGTTTCATATGGAAATTAAGTTTTGTAAATTTATGTTATCAGTAACATTTTTGTATTTTTTTATTCAAACTGTTAAGATTTTTTTTTTTACCATTTACTAGAAATTTTTATTCTTCCCTTTTATAGAAAGTAAACGAAGCAAGGGAAACACAACGTGAATATTATGAGAAGGAGCTGATAAAATTGCAAGCAAGATTGGAAGGAGAGGCTGCACAATTAAAGGAGGCTCATTCCAAGACCTTAGAAGAATTGGCATGGAAACACCATACTGCAATTGAGGCTGTGCACAGTAATGCTAATAAGGATAAGAAAAAACTGCAGATGGTAGGTTTGTGTTTTCTTAATAATCAAACATATTCATTACAAAAAGCAAATGTTTTGGTTTGAACCTTGTACTGTATGGCTTTGTTTTATGTCAAGTTTTATGTCAAGTTTTCTTAGAGGTACCTTCAGTTCTGCTGGGCCTTTCTGAAGAAACATCTCAGACTTTATTAAAATAACATATATCTTGCCAAAAATAAAAATAAAAAAAAAAAAAAAAAAAAAAAAAATACAGAAGATAAATTCTCAACTTACGCAACTTTGAGTATAGTAGGTATGCCTTCCCAGGTTTTGTGAGGTTTTGTGATCCATATCCAGAAAGGTTGCTATATCGATCAAAATCTGTTCTTCTGACAGAGGTAAAAGATTGTTACTCTAATATTTAAAAATTTCACAAACAGTCCAGAAGTACAAAAAGTTGCTATATTAGTACTTTGGAATATACATCCAGTCAACAACAGCTGTTCCTAATTTACATCAAAAAATCATGCTCACTATACATTGACTATTCATTTACCTTTGACTGGAATCCTGAAAATGAAAGGCTTTTTTGTTTCACAAAATTGTCCTTTTCTTTGTTGGGATAAATGAGAGGACCAATTCTGAATTATTATTTCCTAATCTGACTGTTTGTACATACATACACAAATTTTGCCTTATACAGTAAATATGGGATAAATATTAATTGTTTAAGGCTTTGTTATGGTCCTCTGGTGTGTTCGCAGGAAATATACCAAAGAAATACAGTTGTAGTTAGTGATGTGCATCTTAGAATTTTTTTTTTGTAAATTATTTTACTAGTGTTTATTTTTAATAAATCCCAAAGATTTTTTTTCATGTCTCCCAGTAATGGAAGTAGTTCTTTGAGACATACATGCATCTTATCTTTCAGGTTTACTTTCTTTGTAACTTTAAACACGCCTGTTATTAAAACTGTCTCTTAAGGGTTTCTGGGAATATTTTTCATTTACTTTAGTAAGGTGTGGGGTTGTTTCTGTTTTCTTTTGTCTGTTATTACAATAATGTAGAGAATAAAACAAAGGATATCATAAAACATTTGTTCTTTAGTTAAAATAGAGAACATCTCTACAAATATGAGAAATATGAAACTTGAGGTTTGGCAAGGTAAATTAATTATGAAAAGACATCAGGGTCAAGATCTCAGTGAATTTTAATCTGCATACTGTCTCCTGTCAAACCTGTATGCTAAGCACATGTGTTGTTTGAGTAATTCAAGGAAGAAACAGTCTCAAATGTGGAGAAGAGTTGAGTTTAGTATGAGGAAGAAGCATGGTACAAGTAGCCTTGGAATAGAGGACATGAGGATTTATTGGGACTGGAAGACTGGGAAAGGCATCTGGGGTTTGGAAAGCTTTGAAAAAAATGCAACAGAAGAGAATTCTAAAGAATGAGAATAGGACTCAAGAAATAGCTTAAATATATCTCTTTGCTTCAGTTCTTCTATCTATAAAATGAGCTGTAAAAATGGCATCAGTTCATAGGAGGATTATGGAAATAGAGCTACTAATAATTTTGCAGTACTGCACAGCTGTACTGACAAGTATCATGAAAGAACTAATTACTCAGTTATCAGAATAGGGTCTGTATAGCACTAGTGAAATTCTGCAGCCAGCAGATTTCACAGTGTGAACAAGAAAATTTGAGCAAGTCTCATTTAGCAAGGATTGTTTGTCCCACGTGGTGATTGGTCTGGGTCTGGTGAAGAAAACATGCACTTGTTGAGTTACGCTATATAGCAATGTACTATGGAAAGCATAACCCTTTGTTTTGTCACACTGTCCACCATGAACAGAGAGGTGGAGCAAGCAGTTTACACACAAATTATTTATTGCCTATTGCACACCCTAATGGAGTGCTACAACTAACAAGCTACAAAGCTGAATGTGTTTCCCACCCCCAGCAAAGCACTCGCGGAGTCTCTGGTGGTGGATGAGGAAGGGTTGGCCTCCATTTGCTTCTTGGGATGAGCTGCATGTGACACTGAGTTGCCGTGTTGCTGTCTTGCAGCTCCCCAGTTTTCCTTAGAGTTTTATAAGTTTTTATGACAGTCCTTTTCCTCTTGAATTCTTGAGCTCTTAACTCTCCCTGTGTCCACAATCTTACCAATGCCTGCAGTTGTACTTCTTTTGTGCGTGGTTCAGGTCTTTGTATTTTCATACCTGTTTCTGAGATATTACTGATTTTTCAGAAGTCTGAGCCCGGGGCTGGGCAGAGGCATTGAATCAATGCTAAGCCTTTCATTACAGCTGAACTCCTAGGAAGGAATTAATAATGGAGCCTCCGTAGCTCCATAGAAAACCTTAAAGTCTTGTATTATGTGGCTCTGGAGCACCTTACTTGGCAACCTTAGTTTTCTTCAAGAAGACTTTGTGGTATAATGAATTATATAGTATGTTCTACATCTTAACATGTTTTATGTTAAGTATTTTATGACAAATTGTTCTGAAAATATATTCTAAATATTAACAAATCTGAAGTGTAAATTTATAGTTTCCCTTAAAAAAATAAAAAAGTTTGTAACAAATACCTATACAGCATAGGCTCATGTAAGAGCAATATAATTCATCCAGTGGAGTTATTTTCAGAATTTGACTATTACTCTAGAGAGACTGAAACAGAGGTGTTATTTGATTATTTCCATATAGTTGAACTTGAAGACTAATTGTTGATTTCTTTTATTTCTACATAAATTTTATAGATAAGGCATGCGGCATTTTTCATTCATTGTAACAGCCTGAAAAACTTCCCAAAGCTCAGTTTGGATTCTAAGATTCACTATTTTATGTGGGGATTATGTGTAGGAGATAAATGGGTAAAGACTGAAGGATAATCATATTAGCAGTGTAATTTTATTAAAAAGTGAAAAGTTCTGCATTTTATCAACTCAAATCGAAAACCTGAAAATACATACAGTTTTAATAATTTTGATAACTAAGTGCAAAGTGAAACTAGTAATTGAGAAGAAAGTTCTGTTTGTCTGTCTTTTGTGATTAATCATGTTAGATTAGAAATTTATCAAGGATATTAGAGTAGAAAACTAACTGAAAAATTAAAACATGCATTGTAAAAGTCAGTAAATCTTCCTGCGTTAATACTCCAAGGAAAGGACAATTCTTGGTTAGATCAGGGATACTTAATGCTAGGTGAAATAATTTTTTTGCAGTGACTGTATGGCAAGTATTTAGTATTTTTCTATCTTTCTTATTTCTGAAGGAGTTAGAGCAGCAGTTTGAGAAGGAGAAATTGCATTTGGAGGATGATAAGAATCAGCTCCGACAGCAGCTGGAAAACCTGAAGGAAGAGCTGACAATGAAACTGACTTCTGCCAATCAGGAGGCAAGGGTTAATTTAATTCTATCAGCTTATGTTCCTGTGCACTAGACCATATTTCATCAATAATGATCTTGTGCTTAGAGTCCAATACAGAGCTAGGACTATGCTAGAGCTAGGACTATGCTGTTCAATCTGTTTAGTGCCTTATTTCTGTTTAAACTGGAGTATTCTTCAAACATTATAAGTTACTTGACTGTTTCTGAATGATAATTTTATTGTCCTTTACAAAATAAACAAAGCTAAAGAGATTGAGGTACAAAACAGGTGGCATAAACAGTCTTTCTTGGTTTTACTCTGCTTATCTTCTTGTTAGGTACACAGACCTCTACACAAAATATGTCAGGAGACAAAGGGAAAATTAACTGTATTTAAGTTGATGTTTTGTTACAGTTAATGTATTGTAAGTTCTGGCCAGCTTCCTGACTTGCACATGATCTTCATATATTTCCATCAAAAGATAAGACAAAATACTTACAAGACCCAAACTATTTGCTCTATTTCAATATATGCAATCAATGTTAAATGTATCACATCTCAAAACAGTTTTGAGTTTGAAATTGCCACCTTTTCATAATATTTTAAAACTACAGTTATATTCTACTGATATCAAACCCATCAATCCATTCTTGTCTGGAACTCTTGTCGTCTTTCAAGAAAATAATTCATCAGCTTCATTGCTCAACAGGCCATACATCCAATTTCACTGTGTCCTTTAAGACATACTTAATTATGAGTTAAAGTACTTTTTTTGCAGTGATACTTTTTATTACTGTTTTCTATAGGTGGCAGGTGTTTGTTTCTGGCGGCTTGCAAATTCTACAAATGTTAAACTTGCTTTAGAACAAAACTGCTTGTTTTTAATAAATGGGACTTTCTAAAATTGTATATTAAATTATTATTATATTAAAATGCTTCAAACATAGATTTGATACTTTTTTACTTGTAAAAATTCTTTAATATTAATTTTATATTATTACTGGAATTCCATTTTTAATACAGAAACTTTAAATAATATTAAAGGAGAACAGGCTGTGCAAATAAAAATTTGTCTAGATTGGAATTAGAAACACTGGAAGAAAATGAAACCAAGATGATTTGACTGCGATTGGTAATAATTAGGGACATTACAACCTTTTTGTATCATAGGTGTGTCGCCTGCAAGACCTAGTACGAAAAAGCGAACAAGGCCTTGGTACGGCAGAAGGACATATCTCTAGTCTTCAAGAAGCTCAGGAAATACTCCAGAAAGAACTAGAATTAACTAGAGCAAGACTGCGAGAGACCACAGACTCACTGTATAGTGTTGAGGTAACCATAAAGTTGGAGAAAAAATTGTGCAAAGTACAGTCATGGTGATTTTTGGTCTTGTTTTTAAAATGGCAAGAACTATTATAGTCTATACGTTATTGAAAGAGCTTCATATGGCTTCATTAAAAGAGAGAGGTCTCTTTTTATTTCAAGCAGAAAGAAAAAAACTGGAAAACTAGGATGGGCTGGTTTTGATGTTTGGGATTTTTGTTTTGTTTCATTGGCTGTTTTGGGGTGTAGTTTTTTGTTGTTTTCAGAACACTTTCAGTTTGTAATGGGTATTGCTGCAACCACATATTTCTATGGTTAATATAAATTGTAGCAGCCAGAGTAGGTCTGTACAAAATATATCCAGAATTGGATTTTTCAGATGCTTAACAGAATTTTATGAGAATGTAAAAAGCATATGCTACACAACTGCTGTTCCAAACAGTTTCATGTCTTGGTGCAAAACAGGATCCACAGCTTACACAGCTTACAATTCATTGAAACCTTTTAAATTATTATTTTTAATTCATGCATACAATGCTTTCCTCAAATAATGGGCACAGTCTTCATTTCAGGCTCAAATTTAGAATTTCAGAAGATGCTTGAGCATAGTTTAAAGTTACATGCTATGTTATCTTGAAAGATAGCAGACTGTGGCCACTTTATACAACTGAAGCAATTAATTTGCCTGAGCATAATTATATTGCCATTTTACTTGGTTTAGAAGGAAGTGGAACTGTCAATCTGTTAATAGCTCATTGACTTTAATACCAAGTGTAACCTTTCACTTTTCTTTCGTTGGTAAGCAATGTTCATTTACAAGATCATAGCTATATTTGAAGTAGAGCAGCAAATATTAAAAAATAAAATTCCATTAATCTGTTTTCATACTGGTATTTTTTTAACAAAAATAGCTTGAAACAGGATATTGGTTTGGTTTTTTTAATTTTTCAGCTGTAGTCATTAGATGTGCACCCTATCATAGTCTACAACTTCTTATGGTTTTTTTTTAATAATTGCTTTAAGTGTCCTTATGAACTACTGCATTTGTCTCTCTTTACCCGTTACAGAATTTAAATATTCATATATAGCAGGTTACGGGGAATAACATTTATCTTAATAGATCTCTGTGGGAATTTTTCATTTATATATTTAAAAAAATTCTTACTTCAAGAAGTCTTAGTTAAATTTAGATGGCCATGTTTGCTTCTCACGAATGAAGCAAGCACTGCTGAAAAACATTCATGTAAGTATGATTTCTAGGTATAGAATACCTAATATTATTCCAGTATGGTAAAATTTGAACAGAAATGGATAGGAGTTTTTAAGTGTTGGGTTTTTTTTTTCCTGTCCTGTGTCAGACTGTTTCTAGCAGGTTTGTCCAGGAACAGAAAGAAGATCCATATATTTTGTATCAAATCCAGATAGCTCAAGCTTTGAAGTTCAAATGCTGAATATTTGCTGCTTAAAAAAAAAAAAAAAAAAAAAAAAAAAAAAAAATAAGCAACCTGTTCTAATTTTGAAGTTAGTCCTGCAGTGAACAGAACTTGATGACCTTTTGAGGTTCTTTCCAACATTGAATCATAGGATAATTTATGTATTTGAAAATATTATTTCTAGAATGACTTAGTCGAAAAGTCCTTTTTATAGGAATGCAGAATTCTGTTCCACTGGTAAGAAATATCAGCAGATGTATAGGCATTAATTGTGTGTAATTAGGAATTACACACTGAAAAAGTTACAGTTCAAGTTTTATGAGCCAATTGTAGCTCACATTTTTATAATAAATACACTTGTTTAAGGTTTGAAATACTTTTTTTGCTGCTGATCAGTCTCTATTATGAAGTTTGTGTTTACAGGGAGAACTAGATCAGGAGAGACAACAGCATGAGGCAATGATTGCTGCCATGAGAGAAGAGGAGAAATTCAAAGTTGATAGAATGGCTCATGACTTGGAAATAAAATGGACAGAAAATCTTCGGCAAGTATTAATTTTTTTCTTTTATTCTTTAATAAGAAATGAAGTATGTGTTACATGCCAAAGTAATAGCAAATTAAATGTCAAGCAAATGTTTCTATTATTATTTAAGATTTCCCAATTACTACCGAGTTCCTAATTCTTTTTCACTCTTTGCACAAAGTCCACTGCATTTTAGTTATTTGACCTTTGCTTTTAGACAGGAATGTAATAAGCTTCGTGAAGAGCTGAGGCTGCAGCATGAAGAGGATAAGAAGGCAGCCATGACTCAGCTGTTGCAGCTGAAAGAACGTGAAAAAAATGCAGCAAGGGATGGATGGCAAAAAAAAGTTGAAGATCTTTTAGACCAGGTAACTATAGCCTCTTTGAGAATTGGAAAGCTATTACAATTTAGTTGATGGTGATTTATTACCAATTAACTCATGAAGTTGTGACGTATTTGAAATTAAATTTCTTAGGCATAATGCTTTTTAAAACTAATCGTTATCAAACTTTTAAAGTAATATATAAAGATGCCTTAAAATTATATGAATGTCCTTCTTTACACTAAATGTGAATAAATTTTTTTACGGGGTGGGGGGAGTGGGAGAGTAGTGACAGTCTCACTTCTTCACTGTAAGATTTTTTTGATTCTGTGTTTGCTATATAAATATTTACTAATGCTAATTGTTTGGAGTTGGAGGTATCCCCTGTCTTTACAATAATAACACTGTACAAGTCACTGAAAAGTCAAAACATTCTTCAGTCTGTTTTTAAGTGATTTTTTTGAACATTATTTTGGGATAATTTTTTATAAAGAGATTTTTAATTGCAACTCATCTTTATAAACTCACTTATATTAGGTAATTGACAGAAAATACTTACTCTATACTTTTCCCAAACTATAAATGCTATAGAGCTCATATTATTGACTGCAGTTTGAAAGAATAGCTGATAATGAACAAATATATATTAAAGTAAGAGAAACAGGTTTTGGAACTCCTTAAATGATTGTGCTTTCAGGGTAGTGTTGTGGGATGGTTCTTAATTTGCTGTCTAATTTGAGAAGTCTAACTGAGCATGCAATTGATTATATAGCTTCTTATAGGAACACATAATTATTTTTGCTGGTAAGGTATTTAAACTTGTAAAATCTTGTGGCTTAGGATCATAAAAGCTTTTCAAAAGGTTTTCAAAGTTCTTGGTCTGTTACTTTTGACAACATGAATGTAATAAGGCTTGGTCTCATTTGATTTTAAGTTTCACTTACTGCCTTTACCCAAGCTTAATTTACTGTCTTCTGCCTATAAATAGCATTTTCTCCAGGAAAGTACAATTTGAAAGGGGTATGTTAAACTTTCTGTAGTTCTAACATACTTTAAAAATACTTAATCTCTACCTTTTAGAAATACCATAATAAATCTAATCTACAGTTTCATAATGGAAAACCAGTATATTACAAATGAACAGGGTTTTTTCTGCATATGGAAGAAATTTTGGAAATGAAAGGCTAACTGGAATAAGGAGAATTTTACTAGAGAATTTGCAGATATAAGAAATGGTCTGCATATGCAAAATGATTGGGTGTTTTTTCTTCATTCCTTTTACTGTACGAAAGTGCTGCACCATTTCATAACACGTGTATGTTTGGAGGATTAATAAGAAACTAAACCCTGTGAGTCTTCACTTTCTTTTTATTATCCAGCTGTTGCTTTTCCATACCAGTATTTGAGTTGGATAGATATTTCATAAAGATGGAAAAGTTATTGTTGGTGGTAGGGAATTAAGCTTTCTGCAAGAATTAAGATTCTGCAAAAATCTACTTTTTATTCATTACACTTGGAGGAGAGAGAATTCCAGACCATAGCATACAAAATGGGTAACTTACCACAAACCCATTTTTCTAAGAGTTAAGTTTCCTCCTGATTGCAGTACACAAAGGGTAGCCTCTGGGAGTTCCACTGACCTGAATCATAGACTTACCTAAGTTAGAAGAGACTTTAGGAGATCATCTAGTGTCATCTCCTGCTCAAATCAGTCAACACTTGAGTTTAAAACAGGTTGCTTAGGGCTTTGTCCAGTCAGCTCTTGAATAATGTTCAAGGATGAAGATTCCACAGCCATTCTGAAAAATCTCTTCTAGTGTTTAATTATCCTCATAGTGAATTTTTTCTTTGTGTTTAGGCAGAACCCTGTCTGTTTCAGTTTATGATCACTGACCTATTGTGCACCACTATAATGGGGCTAGGTCCACGTAGGTACTAGAAAGCTATTAAGTCCCACAAACCTTTCTCTTCTTTAGACTCCACAAACCTCATTCTCCATGTTCCAGTCCCAGCCATTTTGGTGGTAGCTTCCCACTGAACATGTTCACATTTATCAACATTTCTCTTGTGCTGGGGCAACGAAAGCTGAATGAACTGCAGGAGGAGACAGAATGTGCCCTCCAGGTGATGTGCAACAAGTGCAAAGTCAAAGGGACTGATCTCTTCCCTCAAACAGCTGGTTGTTGCTACAGCCCAGTATGCCGCTGGCATTCATTGCTGCCAGGCCACATGCTTATTCATGTTTAGCCTACCGTTAATTAGATTATGTGAAGCAGATCTGTAACCTGGTGTGAACCAGTGCAGGGACTTAGTCCATCCCATGTAAAGGACTTTGCATTTGTCCTTGTTGAATTTTGTGAGGTTCGGCCCATACTTGCAACCTATGTAGGTCTCTCTCTGGATGTCAGCCCTACCTTTCAATGCATTGTGCCATGCTGCACCTTCTACTCCTTCCACTTTGGTGTCATCCACAAACTCCATTAGGGTGCTATCTGTGTCCTTCTCCAGATCATTGATAAGGTGCTGAAATGAGTAAGTCCTGGAACAGATGCCATAGGAACTCTACTTGTAACAAGTTTTCAGAGTGAACCATTAATTGCTACCCTTTCAGCCTGGTAATCTGGCCAGTTCTCATCTGTCTGGTAGCCCAGCCATCTGAACTGTGATTCAATCAAATACAAGGATGTTAAAAATCTTGCTGAAGTTGACGTCACAAATAGCCCCTGCTTGCCCCTCATCCACAGATCTAGTCATTTCATCATAGCAGAAAAATGAAAGATGGTATTTTTGTATGGAAGAGAGTGGAAGATTTTTGGTATATGTTTCATAATGCAAGGATTATTACACACCTTGGTTGTGTTAATCTAGAATGATGCTACTCTGAGTGGAAACTGTATTGGGCCTCCATTGACAGACACTACAGGAACTACTGCAATAAGCCTAGGTGTGCTTGGCAGTCTGTAAATGTGCAATAAGACTCTTAACCCCAGAGGCTTCAAAGTCTAGTTTAAACAGACTGAAGACAGTGACAGAAGTGAGGTTGTTCTGCTATTTTATATATAGATATAGATATAGATATAGATATAGATATAGATATAGATATAGATATAGATATAGATATAGATATTTATATATATCTATATATAGATATATAAAAGTTAACAGCATTAGGAGGAATTAAAATTTTAGTCCATCAAAAGGATATCTGTTCATACCTGTCTTCTCTCAACTACACTGAGCTAGGACAACCTGAGATACTGCAGTAGGGCTGTAAAATTGTGAATTTGTCACACCCACCCCTGGTCTTCATTAGTAGGAAACCCATTTGAAAGGCATCAAATCTTTGTAAAAAATTAGAGCAGAGATCCAAATCCTCTTTCTACAATTCAGATTTTTTTATACCTGAAGCATTGGTCTGGTCTGTACCAGCAGTACTATATATTAACTTATCAAAAGAATTCAAGACCAAGGTCTCTGCTAAATCATTTGTAAACTCCTAACTTGACAGAAAATGAGGGCTACATGTGCTCTTTATGTTGAGAAAGTGTCCAGACCTTTACCAGTTGGTTGTATAAATGCTGTTCGGGAAGGTTGCATTCAGAAATTAAATGCTTTTCAATACAGGTACATAATTTTATCAAATGCATCTCAGATTTGATTTAAAAGAAGCTACAAAGAAATGTAGCACCTAACTTGAAGTATAGGAATGGTTACATAAGCAGTGTTGAAAGAACAGGTTTAAATGAATGAAGTGACACAGTATAGTTCCTTAAACTGTAGAAAAATACATCTTGGAATGCTGCTGACTGGTGCTGGAAAAACTGAATGAAGAACTATAAATGACAACAATTTTTCAAAAATAAAAAGTTCAGTGTAAAAAATTTATGCCCATAAAGTCTTATTAACCTGGTTTGTTTTTTAAATTATGTTATACTAATCTACAAATTTCTGCCTTCTACTAGTTGCTGCATGTTTGGTAGGTAAGATCTAACTCTTCCATAAAGCAAAGTAATAGTTTTGGTTTTGTATCAGTAATGCAAAGTGATCCCTCATAGAATGCATGTAGGACTATAGTTATTCTAACAGTATAGCTTTGTTATGAGTAAAATAATTCTCTTGAGAGAAAATGCTATTCAGCTAAGTGCTTAAACACATTCTAGCCAGTTACAAAGCATCACTTACCATTCACAGTGAAATGTGGTTGGTAGGTTAACTAGATCAGCATCTGAAGACCAAGTATGTAGTTCTTATCTCTGACATGAAAAATGGTTCTAGGAGACAAAAAGAAAGTGCTGCTTTTTTTTTCCTGTAAATTATACTAAGTACTTCTGCATCAATCCATATGACAGTTTCTTCATGAAATAGTAGCAAATTCAGATGTGCTAGCACTTTTCCATTTCTCTCACCTGTGTAATGGGCTTTTAACACTTTTCTTAAAAAGATTTTACTGCTGAGAAACCTTCAGTTGTGGACGAAATAGCAGGAATTTTATTTTCTAAAGCATAAGCATGTTCTCTCTTCTGCGCCTCTGTGTTGCACAACCTTCAATTCTGGGCACTGAAATGTATAGTTTAAGACCTGTATTATTCTTATCTATTTCTCCTTGTGATAAATTTTTCTTTTTGTAAACTGAATGAAGTATTATAATTGTGGATGGGCTTTTCTATATTTGAGCAAATATTGATTCTCCCATCTTCCTTTTCATTAAAACCTGTATTACAGTAAAATAAAGGTATTTGTCAGCATTTCTTTCCATTCTTACGTAGCTTCATACTATTAAGTGACCGAGCATTACCGAGACATTTTTCTTTCTAACTTGGTCAACTTTTCACATGAAAAGATACCATCTTATATTAATGGAAATATTAGAAATAGTACAATGAGAATAGACAAAAGTATACTACATATGCTTTGGTAGCTGTTGTTGATATTTTTTTTTTCCTGCAGCAAAGATTCTCTCCTTCTTTGAAGATGTTTTTAGAAGTTTCCTATTCAGAGTTTGTTTCTGTGATGGTGTGTTCCTTTTGAAACTGTCAAAATAAATA